GCTGTTAGAGAAATGAGTATCAAAACTACCTCACACCTGCTAGAATAGCTATTATCAACAAAGCAATAACTTTGTTGGAGAGGTTGTGGAGAAAAAGGCACCCTCATTCACTCCTGGTGGGAATGTAAACTGGTACAGCCACTATGGAAAAGAGTATGTCAGTTCCTCAAAAAATATAATAATAGAGTTACCATGTGACCCAACAACTCTCCTTCTGGGTATCTACTTGAAAAATTAGAAATTTGTATTCTAAACATTCTTTCAAATGCTTATAAATCCATATTGTCAAATCACCATAATTAAATAATATTTTTGTCCCCCAAGAGTAATATTTCTAAACAATGTAACTCAGGTTGAGGACTTTATTTAATCAAGCTACCCATATCAGTGATGCTGAACAAGTAGGTAATAACTAGTTATTGAGGATAGCGTGTGAGAAATGAAGCAGACCTGGAAGTGAGGATGATGGAATACTGCCAACCAGGGCAGTTCAGGGTTTCAAATCAGCCTAAAAATTCTAATATTTAGAGAAAAAATATTAATATAAATAAATATGTCCATAATCTATCCGAAGCCCTTCATAATAAAAATGTGTTTGGTAAGGCGCTGTCGTTCTCCAGTGCACTCCCCTAACTACTTGTTTTGTCCAAATGGCCATGTTGAAGAAACAGACAGAAAAGCCTTGGTGAGACAGATGCTGGATTTATAGCTCACACAGGAGCTCTCCTTTTTTAAGATTTTACTTATTTATTTTTATAGAGAGGGAAAGGGAGGGAGAAAGAGAGGGAGAGAAACATCAGTGTGTGGTTGCCTCTGGCACTCCCCCTACTGAGGACCTAGCCCGCAACCCAGGCACGTGCCCTGACTGGGAATCGAACGGGCGCGCCTTTGGTTCTGAGGCTGGCACCCCATCCACTGAGCCACCCAGCCAGGGCACACAGAAGCTCCTTTTAAGATTAGAGAAACAACCTTCAGTTTTACAAAAATGATTGGGTCTTTGTATTCTTTGGCCATTACAGTTTTATTTGAATCCCTGGATGTAAGCTGATGGCTGTAATGTAGACCTACTGTGTTTTAAAACATTAGGCTTCTTCATTTTCTGTTTATTGGAAATACGTTAATAAGTGACTCAAAAAAGTGAAAAATGTGCCAAAAACATCAAAGCAAATGCTAATAAGCACACTTGAAAAAGTATTACACTTAGACCTTGTCCATAATTTCAGGGGAATACTTATAAGGAAATATTTGCAGGACCAGTAAATGCATATACCGGAGTTGGCAAAAGTAGGTTTACTGTTGTGAGTATGCAAAACCAAGTTTATTCTTATATTATTGTTTATTAATTATGGTTTTTTTTTGTATTACAACTGTAAGTCTAATTTTGCCCACTCCCGTATTTGAGGAGGCCTTTCTCGTTTACCCTAATCTTAAATAGGAAATGGAGAAAGCTCCATTTATTGGCTGTCGGAAATGGGATTCACTAACTGAGCGAACGCCAATGTTTTATGAGCTATTGAACCAGATTTTGTTATTTTAAAGGAATAAATATGGCTCTTTTGATGTGGAGACACTGCCTAAAAGAACAAATATTAGAAATCTCTCAGCAACTGTCCACAGATTTAAATTTTAGGTTCTCAAGCAAATACTACATTAGCCAGAGTAAAAATTCCATGAGGTTCATGTGTTGAAGACCTTATAGTTAGAAGTAATTGGTTGCTGTAGTAGAGGGGAGCATAGTTTTGCATTGTCCCTAGTCCTAGAATTCTTGAAAATTTGAATTGGATTATATTATTAAAAAGCATAAGTGTTATATCCTAATGTATCTCAGACATCAACTATTGCTATGTGCAAGGTTAGAACTAGTAACTGGTTTCTAGTTAGCTCACCAGTTCACTTTTCAGATCAGAGCTCTTGTGACTATTTGAGCCTTCAGCTGGGCTGTTTATTGCTGAAACCCCAAGGCAGTTGGATTCTATTTGGTCCCTTAATGAAGTGATGGTGATTTTAAGTTAAAAAAGACTTTCTACAGACATAGTGATGACACTAGAGATGTTTCTTGTGGTAGAAAATTGGGGGTAACACTTAGGAACAATATGCTGATCTTTTTATGTTAAGAGCTTTGTTGCGATATAATTTATATACTATAAAATTTACCTTGATCATTTTTTAAATAAAGGGGAAAGATTGATACGTGTCTCACTATAAGCTACTTCCTTCTATTTTAAAGAAAAATAAAATATATATACTTTCACTAATACGGTTATTTTTTTGATAATAAGATGATCTCTTTTTTTTAGATTTTTATTTTTGTTTTTAGAGAGAGGGGAAGGGAGGAAAGAAGAGGAAGAGAAACATTGATGTGTGAGAAAAACATCAATCTGCTGCCTCCTGCCTGCTCCTCAGCTGGGGACTGAACCTGCAGCCTAGGCATGTGCCCTGACTGGGAAGGGAATCAGCAACCTTTCACTTTGTGGAACAATGCCCAACCCACTCAGCCACACCAGGCAGGGCGAGATAATCTGTAGCATTTTTAAATCTCTAAGGAGCAAGACTTGAGTGGATCATGAAGAATGCTGTGGCTCCCTGTGTTGGAGAAATGCAATTCACATGGGATAAACAAATGCTTAAACATGCTGGCCAATGTCACCGTTGTGAAATACTAAAAAACTCCATTGTGGTATAAGCAATAATCAGATTCTAAAGAATTACTAGAAAAACATCATTTGGGTTGTAGGTAGAGGAGAACCTGATAGGAATTGTCCAGATTTCATAATGAAAAGATTGTGAAACCTAGGAACAATGTAGCAAGTAGGACAAAGCCAGTATCCATGTAACTAGTATTTAGGTCAAGAAATAGAGAGTTGCTGGCCTTTCAAGGAATACTTAGTATTTCCTTTCCCCCACCACAGCCCTCCAGCTATCATTTTTATGCTATCATTTTTCTATCTCTATCTTTCCCTCTCTCTCATACACACACACACACACGCACACAGACATAAATAAAATCATGTATGTATGTGTCTAACCATTAAAATTTAATTTTGCCTATTTTGCGTAACTCTTTATGAATTAAATCATGTGTTCTTTTTGTCTCAAATCCAGGTTTATAAGATCCATCTATGTAGAAACAAGTATTACGTGCAGTATAGTATATTCATTGTCATTGTAATATACCATTGTATGAACATAATACAAGTACTTCTTCATTTTGTAGTTTGCGGGCATTTCAGTTGTACACAGTTTTTTACGACTGCATATTATGCTGCTTTGGACTTTATAAAATTTGATACACATGGGCATGAGTTTCTCAAAGTGTAGTCCTTCCATCCACAGCATCGGTACAAAACTTGTTAGAATGCAGATTCGTGGGCCTTACGCCTGATCTATTTTCAGATATCATTTATATATGCCCTAGCTGTGTGACTCAGTGGATTGAGTGCTGGCTTGTGACCCGAAAGGTCGCTGATTCGATTCCCAGTCAGGACACATACCTGGGTTGTGGGCTGGGTCCCCAGTTGGGGGTGAGTGAGAGGCAACCAATCAGTGTACCTCTGGTACATTGATGTTTCTCGCCTTCTCTTTATCCCTCCCTTCCCCCTTTCTAAAAATAAATAAATAAAATTTAAAAAAATTATTCATATATATGAAGTCTGTGTAGAAGGTATCCAGCCATGTAATATGAAAAAGAGACATTTATTGAAGAAGATACAAGATACAAGAAACATTATACATAAGACAAAGACACTTCAGTCCCCTTCAAATTAGGCACCTTGGGACCTCACACAGTTCTCCCAGTCACCATGAGGTATCCTGTTGTATTTTCCTGAATTTCATTGATGGTCTAAAATCTCTTCCTTTCAAAGGCAATTTTAGTTTTGGGAAAAGCAAGAAGTCTCAGGGTGCCAAATCTGGGCTGTGTGGGAGCTGAATCACCTGGGTGATTTGATGTTTTGCCAAACAGCTGTGCACAAGACACGATGCATGAGCAGGCGCATTTTTGTGATGAAGCTGCCAATCACCAGTTGCCTGTAGTTGTGGCCTTCTGAGTCATCTCAGTAGTTTCCGTGGAGGAATGCTCAAGCTGAATGTAAAATTTGATGCAGATTCGTTACTCTACTTGCTCAGTTGTTTTGAATGTGATGGCTACAAGGTACACATGCCCACTCAATGGCATCTACCCCCTACCCCCTCACAGTGATTAGTACAATGAAGTCGTCATTGTTCACACATGCGCATTCCAGTCCACTCTCCTTGGCTGCCAGGTTACATTGATGTTGTGTAAACCATTCTCATTATGTTAACAATGGCTGGACTTTTTCCAGACAGACCTCATATCTGTGATATGCCTATTTCAATGATTGTCCTTTTGCTTAAACTATTTTCGGGCCTTCTGGTTTGGAACTGCCTTAGGAGCTCATTAGTAATCACACTCATGTGTATACATTTGCACAAAATACACACACACCCCCACACTCGCTCCAGTCTCTTAACAATAGACTCATTACTCATTTTGAAACAAGTACTGTAAGTTTTTTTTTATAACAAGTTTGAGTCAAGTTTTTGGTTTTTTCAAAAAATTAATATTCAAAAGAGAAATATATTTGCTAACATTGAAGATATTCAAAAACTGCAATAGACTGAAGACCTGCTAGAAAAGGACCTGCTTACTGGTTGGGCAGAACATTATTCCTAGAGTGGGAGCTGCAGGGCCCTACAGGGAAAGCAGCATAGACTTAACTAGGGCAGACATGGGTTCAAATGCGTTTGTACCACCACAGCTGTGCTATCTTAGGGAAGTGCTGAATTTCTCTGAGCTTCCTTTTTCTCCTACTGCAGAGAGGGTGATAGCATCATTAGCACGTAATGATTATTTGCAGGGCCACATTCATACTGTGGGTGCCTTTCAGCTTTGGATGAACAGTATTCATCTGTTTGAACATGGCCGATTGTCATGCCTTCGTACATATCATGCTTTTTACTTTATTTTTGTGCTCCCACAGGAACGATTCCAGGTGAAGAATCCTCCCCATACATACATCCAAAAGCTCAAAGGCTATCTGGATCCAGCTGTAACCAGGAAGGTAAGAGGGATTTATTTCCACTTTTTGTTACCACTTCCCCGTGAGTGAGCAGAATCTTCTGCATTGGAGAACTTCCTTCCTCTGCATTATAGCCTCTGCCAGAGCCTCCAGGAAAACAACCCGTGGTGATGAACAACAGAAGACAGAGGGAAAAAAGCTGTCCTTCTCATGTGAGAGGATGTGCTTAAAAGTACTTTCCTGAGATGGAAGTCACGTATCTCTGATGGTTATTGAGTCACTGCCATTTCCAATTACGCGGGGCAGTGAGTCCAGTGCAGAGGTGTGTGGGCCCCTAGAAAAACAGGCCTAGCAAAGGGAAGACTTGTCTTTCATGTCCTGGTGCATTTCCAGAGACCTTGAAAAATCACTGCGGCTTTGTCATCCCAGCTGTGCTCTCACATCCTGTGTTGATGCTTTTAGCAGCTTCCCCGCCCCATCCCTGCCCCAGGCCCGGGGAAGGTAAGAAGAGAATAGCTGGTTCCATTCTCAACTGACTTTCTCCTTTTACAGACAAGCCCTGCTTTGTGCAGCCACACAATTGGCTCCCACTGCTGCCTCGTGGTAAAGCACGCAGCCTGGCACGGCCCCGTGGCCCGGGGCAGGCCTGGGATGTCTCAGGGCAGAGCTGTCTCTGCTCAAGATGGGTAAAGGGCCTCTTCACCAGATAGCACTTGTTTTTCGGTTGACCTACCACCACTCCTGCATTCAAGGCTGCAGAGAAAATATCTTGAGCTGAATTTCCTCTGTCGTTTCCGCACAGGACTCATGAGAGAAGAAAGGCACACTTTTTCCAGTTAGCCACTGTTTCCAGGACTCTAGTATTTTAAAACAACAACAACAACAAAAAACCTCCTTTTTATTTACTTTCTGCTTTCATTCAACTCTCTTCAACCCTTCTCCCCCCCCACCCCAAAAGTAAAAAAAGTCAAGCAAATGAGAACAGCTATTATTTCCTTTGGGAAGTTTCCTGGCCCTTTGTCCTATGGTTAACATTCAAGCAAGCGGAAATGAAATCTAGGCATGATGCTGAAAATGGACTGTGGACCTTTGCTGTTGGCTAGACACCATATGTGAATTGAATGACACAGCCTCATCTTCTGAGAATGTACCTGTCAAAATATCATAATGTGCACCCCCTGACAAATATGGCACACACATGTTTTCTTTCTTTTTTTAAGAGCTTCTGTGAGGCCCCCTAAAAGAGACAGCTGCTTAATTCTTGTTTTGTCCCCTCCTCTAAGGATGCAGCAGCCTCAATTTCATCAGATTAGAGAGGATTAAGTGAAGGCACACCCTTATATACAGAACACAACCAAAAAACCCCAGGTGTTTTTCCTGGGCTATTTCCTTGTACAGGGGCAAGATTCTTCTTCAGAAATAATTTGAGGAATTCCCCAGACTTCCCATCCTTCGGGCTGGTGGGCTTAGGCCTCAGCATTAGGCACACTCTCCCCAAGCCAAGGCGGTCTAAAAACGCTGATGTTTGTCACTGAGAGCTTCCCTCACACAGAGTAGGTTCCATCCCCAAGCAAGTATCACAGCAACTGTCAGCCTCTGAAAAGAAAGGAGAAAATATGTGAACTCCTAGAGAGCTTCTCAGACTCCAACCCTACACCCCACAGCGGGGAAGATGCTCAGAAGGCACAGGTGGGCTCCCCCCGGCACTGTCCCAGCTCCCCTTCGGTACAGTTATTCCTGGGTTGAGGCAAAGAATATGAAACAAAAAACAGCTAATAAGCTGCTCGGGAAGCGTTTTCAGTCCCTCACAAATAATAAAGAGGACCAAGACAAGAGACTTCTGTTTGGCTGACCTTCAGTGTCTGCCCCGGACCCTGTGCGTTCACCCGAATGGCCTCATTTGGTCTGAGCCTCATCCTTCACCATCAGCTGTTGGGTGCAGATGAAAATAATAGGGTGCGGGATCAGCCATCTCTGTACAGTTTCTGTCAGGTGCTGGCAGAAAGAAATGATCTGTTCCACTCAACGTAATTGTCATGCTTAAAGCCTGGGGAAAGAGGAGATTTTGTTTGGACTAAGGCATGGCTTGTAGTTAAAATCGGTTTAGGATTCTCAGCTCTAATATGGAAGGAGGAAAGGAAAAGATTTCAAATCAGGGCTTTCAAGTTTTGTGAGACAGCTTAGGCTGAGCAGTCTTCCCTTTCCTGCAACTAGGGTCCTCAGAACTTCATTAATCTTTTGTTCATCTTGAATATAAAATAGTTAATTTCCTGTCTCCTAAAAAAAATTTCCTAAGTATATTCCACTTAGATTTTTTTCTAAATAGTTTTAAACTATCCAGGACAGAGACAGAAGAGCCTAACTTAGATATCTCTGTGACCAGTGCTCTCCAAACCAGCTTCCTCATTTAATACCAGGCAGTTCTTAGTCTAAGCATCGGGTGGGGTGGGAGGGACTGCTGGTGCCTGGCATGGAAAAGGCTACAGACCATGAAGGAAGGAGTCTGGTCCCGTGGTGCCCTTGTGAAGTGAAATCTGTTGTCTAGGTCTCTGGGGCTCAGCTGCTTCTGGGCACATCCCTGGGCCTTGCTCTTAGGGAGAGGATCAGGGCTGTGGCGGAGATTGCCAGTGGATGGTACTCTGCTCCTTTTTGCTGGCGTATGTGTTTAGAGAAGTGGATGCCAAAGCTTCTCTGTAGTCCAGAGTCCAGCTAAAAGTGAAACAGTTCCCTGGAGAGTACAGTACAGTACAAAGGCAAAGTCAATTTAGTGTTACCTCAGGTATCATGTAGTTGCCAAAGTGTAGTGTGTACCATAGTAAATGGCTAATAAATATTACCTGCTATTGTCTTTCCCATTATGTCATAGTTTTGTTTTGATATATGCCTCCTGTCCCTTTAGCACATCCTCTTTTTTGAATTAAAATTTTTTATTACTATTATTTTAATCCTCACCTGAGGATATGTTTATTGGTTTTAGAGAGAGCAGAAGGGTGGGGGAGGGGAGAGAGAAATGTTAATCATTTGCCTCCTGTAGGTATCCCAGCTGGGGACTGAACCCGCAAGCTAGATCTGTGCCCTGACTGGGACTTGAACACGCAGACTTGGTATATGGGATGACGCTCCAGCCAACTGAGCAACCTGGCATGGGTTCAGCACATCCTCTTTTATACTCTGTTATGTCTACGGTGTTTCACTAGGTGCCCCTGTGGCGTGATGATGTCTGAAAGTGATGACCTTGCCCCAAGGAAGCATTAGGCAGAGTTGGGAACTGGCAAAGGCCCCAGGGAACCAGGCAGGACTGTGCCAAATGCATAGCCAGGAACACTCCGTTGTTTTCTAAAGGCCACATGTGTAGACGGCCCAAGACGTGGAACTGTGACCTGGGAATGGCCCCCTGGAACAGCCAGCACACCTGGGAATGGTTTCCTCCGCTCTGTGGCCACAGACATACCTCACTGGCGGTTCTCACTGCTGGATCGCTCTCCAGAAATCAGTGGGTGTGGATTCCCCTCCAACTATAGATGCCTCTGCCAGTTCTTGGGCCTTTCTTGATAAAAGAGGGGAGTGTCCTTTTTCATTACATCAAGGATACTTTATTTTGTATATCCCACTGTACCTACATTCTAAAAACCTGAGAAAGTCTTGGAGGTACTTTAGGAATGGCACCCAAGGTGGGGGGGGGCGGTCTGTGACACTATTTGCTTCCTTAGGGCCCTAGTGAGAAGCAATTGGGGGAGAAGCAAAGCACCTTCAGAAGAGGAGGAGAGAGTGACAGGAGCTGCCCATACGGAGCTTGGTTCCAGGTCTTCCCTGGGGCACCAGGCTCCACCTGTGGCCTGGCTCTCCCCACCCCGCATCCTGGAATCCTCCTTTTCAGGCTTTCTCCGGTCCTTTCGGTCCTGGCATTCCTTGAGCTTTGGAGAGGGATGGCCTATTTACTCTGCAATTATGGCAGCAGAGGAACGTTTCTAATATCCTGAGCTTGAATTCTCAAAGCCTTTTCCCGGACACAGTGTAACATGAAGGTAGTTTGGATCTGCAGGACAGAAAGCACAGAACTCTTCTTAGAAGGCGTTGCATATCAAATGTCCTCCTTTCAGAGTGGCCTAAGACTTTAGTTAATGGACATAAATGTTTCTATAGGAAATTGTGTTCCAAAGAACTGACGTGCAGTGCAACCCAATAAATCCTTGGAGGTTATTTAGAGTTGAGTGGATAGAGAGGTGATCACATTTACTATCAGAGGAGGAGTCACTGAAGAAGAAAGATGTGAGGAGTTCTGCAAGGATTGGTGGGATTTTACAAGCACAGGAATGAGGAAGGACATTCCTAAAGCAGAAAGGAGGTGCTCCAGAGGAGGGACCTTCCATGCGAGAGCTCGTGGGGAGAGGTAACTATGAATATTTACTTCTGAAAAATGTTAGGTCGTGCATAAAAGGATTAATATAGCGAGCCCGAGACCATTCCCTTAGAAAGACCTGCTTGCAAGGCTGGCTCCTGGTTGTCAACTGAGGACCCAAATTTTGGGAGAGTTCCCACCTTTCCCTGCTAAGAAAGACTCACGGTGCCTATACTGTGTATGCCAACAATATGGTTTTGTTGAATGCCTGCTTCCTTCTGGGAGTCTGTACTTCTGGTATGTGCTAGGCAGAGAGTACCACAGTGACCCAGCGCCTAGTAAAAACCCTGGGCGCTGAGTCTCCAATGAGCTTCCCTGGTAGACCGCATTTCAAGAATACTGTCATTTGTGACTCTTCTGGGAGAAGACTCTTGGAAGCTTGTATCCGGTTTCCTCCAGACTTCATCCCAAGTATCATTTCCCTTTGTTGACTGTACCTTGTATCTTTTTGCTGTAACAAATCCTAGCCATAAGGACAACTAGTTGCTGAGTCCTAGCAAATCACTGAAACTCGGCTGGTCGGAGGGACCCTGACACACTGTGGGGTAGGGAAAAATAATGTCACTGTGTATAATGTGCCTCTGTGCATAATGTGCACCCCTGTTTTTGTGTGCATGGGATTATATAAACCATTATACCCATGTATGATGCACATCCATATTGCCCCCCAAAAAATTTGGGTAAAAAAGTGTGCATTACAACACGGCAAAATACAGTACTTACTCAAAGACACTTAGTTCATGAAATAAGTAATTTCTCCCAAACCTTCCTCGTTAGCTGATTTTCATGATGAGAAAAATTTGTGTGCTTTGTAAAAAGAAATGTGAGAGAAGCCTACTTCAGAAGCAGAGATATTTTCATATTGTGTTAAACTTATCGCAAGTAAGCTCCAGTTTTAGCAGTTGCTAAAATATGTTTTGTGAGAATATGTCTTCTTGAATTACAGAAATTCAGACGGCGTGTTCAAGAATCCACACAAGTGCTAAGAGAACTGGAAATTTCTTTAAGAACAAACCATATTGGGTAAGTGTGCCCATTTAACATTTTAGCTTCAAGGCTTTTGGACACTACGAAGTGACTGTATCATAGCCAAAGAGTTAAGCTTCCTTACTGTTCATTGTAAATTAGGAGACTGAGGTTTACATGGGTGGAACCTGTGTCAGTATTTGAATTGCTCACTGTATAAGAATCAGTAGAAGCAGAACAGAAAGTCCTTGATTTGGGTCATTTATAACCGTTCTAAGATCCTTTACTTGGATGCAGTAGTAAGTTCTTGGTCTCTTGTGTGCATAATAATTCTTTGGCAAATTAGGAACCCCAACAAGTAAAAGTAATGCAGAGATCCTGGAAGATCTCTGAGCCTTCACGGGCATTCTCTGAGCTGGTTATGTGAAATTGCTCCATTCCCCTTTCCTCAATTCCCTGGCCTTTTTGGCCAGGAGGGGACAAAAACTGGACTGATGTCACCTGATATACCTCATTGCACTTAGATACTTTGTTCTGAGTTTCTTCTTCCTATACCTCAAAATTTCAGGACCATGAAATGTAAATCCACTCTAGAAAATAAAATTTGAGGAATCCCTGCGCTAAGCATTTCTAAGAGTTTTTCATGAGACAACATGGTTGCTTTGCCACAAGCTAGTACAGGTTTATGACATTGTCCCATATACCTGGGATGGCACAGTTGTACAGCACCTTAAAATAAGATGCGTCATCTCCATGGCAGAGTGATATGAGGTGTCCTGTTTTGTAGTCTGAGTTCTTCCTAAACTTTCTGTTTAATACCTTATTTAACACTTTGGGTTTTCACTCTTTGAGTTTTACAATGAGAAGCCCATAGACTTTAGTTCTTCCGGGATCGTCCCCTGTGGCATTCTTTGCAGGTCTATTGGAAATGAAGTTTTGTAGGTATAGTATCTTGTAGTTTTACAGAGAGTATTCTATAAATTAAATGTATTACATAAACAACAGTTTATTTCTACTTTAGACTATGTTTGCTATAAGCCATTCGGATGGGTAATTTTCACAGTTATTTCAAAATAAATTTTTTTGTTAAAAAAAAATTGCAGAGATGCAAGGTTGAAATCAACCAAGGTGGAGCCTGAGTGAGAATGTTCATTTCCTAAAGGATGACTTTGCATTTGAGAATGGCAGTATTCAAAAACAAACCGATTCTCACCTGAAGTTGAAAAAAAATCACCTTTATCCCAGAAAATCGACTGTAGAACAGTGGATCATGGAATCATGATTTAGAACTGAAAGAGCAATGAAGGATTACCTAGTCCCTCATTTTATGGATTAAAAGAATTAAGGACCAGAAAAGGCGAGTGAATCCCACAAAGTGTATAGCTGTAGAGCCAGGTGCTTTGGTTTAAAATATTGTGTTCTTTTTCTTATATTGCCTAATCTAGCAGCTATTTCTCTGAAAGGAAACAAAGTAATCAGGGCTCTGGGATCAAAGCAATGAGGCTTGTCTATTGGGGGTGAAAGTGGTGGTAATTTGATACAGTTGAGCATCCAAGCTCAGGAAATTTCCATACTTTCCAATATTTGTGGATCAGGAGGAGCTAGATTCCACTAGGTAAGGTCCAACCCTACACTGTTGGCACCACTTCATGACTGAAAGTGTTGGAATGAGCTGGAGCCAGGATTTCTACAAATTGTCAAAAGACATTTCTTCAAGCATTGCTGGAATAATGTGAAATTGACCATCAAATACCAAAGCAAGATGATCATTTCCAATACAAAGTTGGCTGAATAGTAGAGCCTTGGTTGGGCTGAAGCCAGTGCAAATCTGCAAGCAATTGGGGTGGTTTGTTGTTTAAGATACTATAGGCATGTTGAAAGATTCTTATGTTTCTTTCATCTTCTCCTGCTGAAGCTTTCTGTTTACCACCTCTGTGGGGCAGCTGAAAGCTTTGGCTTTTGCAGCAGAAAAATGCAGAGGTGCATTGTCTGATTTTTTGCAATCAATTACTGGCACAACCTTATACCGATTAAAACCACACACCAGGATTTTGACCTATTTTACCTGTCCTCAAAATCGAAACCTGAACTAGACTCTTCATTAGGGAAATTAACTGGCTTGAACTCATTTGGCTGGGAAATTTTATGAAAAGTTACTCAATGATGTGAATGTAATCAATTAATACAGTGAGGAATTCTTGGAATGCAAGGTGCTAAATGAGGGGTCCATAGATTTTATTGCACCCTTAAAGGCAACATAAAAGAAAGATCATTGGGTGCCCATTTGCCTTATGGAAAGTGAGATCTTGATTCAGATTTTTGCTATGCCCCTTATTGGTTATTTGACTTTAGGTAAGTTACATAAACCCTCTGTACTTACCATACAATCTAAGTTAACTTCTTACCTATAAAATGAGGTTAATAATACTCCATAGGAATGTTGTAAGAATTAAATGAAATAACTTATAAAATATCTAATATAATGTTTAATACATAGTAATTACTCACCATGTAATAACTTTTGCTTGTTATGCTTATTGAAATTATTATATCTAATAATAATTCAACAATATATGTAACACATCCTTAAAGAATTTGATACAGAGAATGTTGCCTTCTCTGTCTAAAATGACTCTGACACCTAGGAGATTGGTGCTTACCAGAAAGTAAAAGGAAGAATGACATTTAAAATCTACTTGTTCTAAAAAAAAAAAATTATTCTTGGCACATACATGCATTTCAAGGTTAAAGTCTAGGGCTTTGCTGAGATAACATTCTAAGCTATAGCTTTGTGAAGCAAAGGGTTTGTTCTCAGTTTTGACATTAACCTAAAACTCTATAAATGGAGCAATCTTCTGAGAAAGAAAATTAATTTTCTTTGAGCCAAATTGAAATAATAATTGGACTAGAAATAATATCATTCACTTACTCTTAGGAATTATAATAATACAGAAGAATTGGATTATGACTTATCCAAGTTCTTGAAATGACTTGCAATACCCTTGAAAGGAGCCAAGTAACATTTGGACTGTTTGGCGGGGCAATGTGAGTTGTCAGGTGTCATGATGTTTTGTACGTCAGGGTGATAAGATTCAAGTGGTGGTGACAGTGGTGAGTTGGGGAGATTTACGGGCTTTATTCCATGGAACTGAGATGGAGGCGATCTCTCCTCGCAGGTAATTTATTTTAGTAAAACTTCCTATTATAATAGAAAATTAATTTTTATCTTGAGTACAAAGTCATAGAAATTCTGAAAGGTGCTCATTTCACCTTATCTCCTTGGGTGAGCTGAGAGAAGGAGGCTGCAGGAGGAATGTTCTAGTTGACTGATTTTTAGGGAGGGGAGGAGCCGAGGAACTGCCCAGGGACATCTTCCCACCAGGCCCTCCAGCTTGTTTGGGAATCAGTGGGGAAAGAGCGAAGAATAACTAAGGCTGGTTTTAAGAGGTATAAAACATGTACGGGGTGTGTGTTCATCAAGCTGGCCTACAAATAATTCTTTCTTAGGTGGTGCCTTTTGGAAATTGGCATGTAATAAGCATTGTATTAAGTATGTTAAATATATTATTTATTTCTTACAAAATCTTTTTATTGTTTTCTTTACCTCTGAATCTTCATTTTACAGATGAGAAAGCTGAGTCACCTATTAAGTATCTTGCTACTTAGTATCTAGCAACTTAGAAGCACTGAGATTTGAACCTAAATATGTCCAAAGCCTGTTATAAAACCAGCAGTCCTCAAATTTTCTAATTTTAGGACTCCTTTACTCTCTTAAATTATTTTGAACTCCAATAACCTTTTATTTTTGTGGGTTTTATCTATTAATGTTTACTATATTGGAAATGTAAACAGTTATATTTAAAATGTGCTTCTTTAATAAAATTTACTATTTATTAAATAATAACTAAGTATATAAATAAAAATAATAAACAGCACAAATATTACATAAAATAACCATTTTCTAAAGCAAAAAAATTAGTGACAGGAGTGGCATTAATTTACATGTTTATAGATCTCTTTAATGCCTCATTAAGAGAACATAGCTTGGCTCTCAAATCTTTGCATTCAGTTTGTTGTGCTATGTTGTTTTGTTTGATGTGTATGAACAAAACCTAGCCTTACACAGGTACACACTTAAAAAAAGGAGTTGTTTTTCTTTTCTATTTTTTTTTACATTTTTTGACATGCAGTTTTATATAAATTTTTTTTCATTTATGGTTTACATTTACTATTATTTTGTATTAGTTTCAAGTGCATAGCATAGTGGTTAGATCAACATATATTTTACTAAGTGTTCCTTCCGATATTTCCAGTAACCATCTGGCATGATAGATAGATAGATAGATAGATAGATAGATAGATAGATAGATAGATAGACAGATAGATAGATAGATATAATAATATTATCGACTGTATTTCCTGTTCTGTACTTTACTATGACTATTTTGTAATTACCAATCCTCAATTCCTTCATCTTTTTCACCCAGTCCCCCTGCACCCCTCCCTTCTGGCAACCATCAGTCTGCTCTCTGAGTCTGTTTCTGTTTTTATTCGTTCGTTTATATTGTCCTTTGGATTCCACATGTAAGTAAAATCTTTCTCTGACTGACTTATTTCACTTCGAAAAATACTCTCTGAGTTCATCCCTGCTGTCGCAAATGGTAAGGTTTCCTTCTTCTTTTTTTTTTTTTTTAAATGGCTATGTAGTATTTCATTGTGTAAACGTACCACAGCTTTCCACTCATCTACAGCTGGGCACTTGGGCTGCTTCCATACCTTGGCTATTGTAACTAATGCTGCAGTGAACACAGGGGTGTATATGTTCTTTTGAATTAGTGTTTTGAATTTCTTCGGATTTATACCCAGAAGTGGAATCACTGGGTCATAAGACAGTTCCATTTTTAGAATTTTTTTGAGGAACCTCCATACTGCTTTCCACATTCTGTGCTCTGTTATACTAAAATCCATTTTACTGTCTTGCTCTTGAATGAATCTTTTTACCCATTAGTAATTTTCTACCATCATGAATTGGTCATTTGGAAAATACTGTTTCACGGAGTTAATCTGATCTCCCAAATATTGACACATTTTATTCTACACCATAAAAACAATCACATTCGTTAGTAATCAGCAGTCTCATCAGAGTGTCCTTTAAAGTATTGGGAAGCTGTCCAGCTCATGGCGGTGAATACAAGTGTTCCAAAATTCTAACTTTGTTATTGTTGTTGTTCAAAAGCTCAAATTTTATCATCAACAACAAATACTGTCAGTTGCTTTCCTCAAAATGACCAGCTCACTTCATTCCCTTCTGAGATCATATCTGCCAAGTACCCAAGACAGAATAACCATAGTTTGTAAGTCACTTTACATTCCATGTACAAAGCGGGTAGTCCAGTTTGCAGCTCAAGCAATTGGAGGACAGCTTTTCTTCCAGACAACTGTGGCATCTGGGCAGACAGCAGAAGCGCTTTGTGTGGGCTTCCCATTTTGTCACACAGAAAATTACAGATGTATATTCAGGGAGGAAGCTTTAATAAAATCAATATTGTTACTGCTTCACTAAGGACAGTTTTAAGTGAAGAATACAATGAATAGGTGTGTTCTTTGGTGGCAGCAGTTGTATCCACCCTTCTTTTGTACCATCAGGACAAGTGTCCGCACAGTGTCAAAAACAACTACTTTCTCAATATTTGTATGAAAATAATTATAGCCCCACAAACTTCTGGGAGGGTCTCAGGGATCCCTCATGGCGTGCAGGCTATACTTTGAGAACGAATCGGTGATGCTCCCTCTTAGGTTTGGTAGCTAATGATTTATCTGGGTGATTCTTCTCTTTTCTCTCTTCCTTCTCATGCTTTCTTCCCCCCATGATTTTTCAGCCACAGCAGTTCCCACCATGTCTATAGTAGATCTCTCTAGGAGACTGGCAAAGGGAATTTATTATTTGTCCCTTTATCTTGTGTGTCTAGATGGATGAGAATAATGCAGTTCTAAGATTTGGGGGCAGAGAGAACAGCAACTTGGAAATGAAGCTTTGACCCATCTGTAATAAAACAGTAACTACGGGCATCTGCACGTAGATCCCTTCCTTGGAGAAGGTTTCTTCCAGAGCTGTTTTTCATGACCACATCTCTTCTGGTTCCTGAGCAGCTGATCAGGAATTTGCCTAATTGACACTTACAGCCTGGGGTAATTACAGGGAACCCGTGAGGTACTTAGTAAGTGATGCATTGCTGTCAGAGTCAGAAAAAATTCGTCTACACCACACCACCCTGAAAGCTCCCAATCTCGTCTGATCTCAGAAGCTAAGCCGGGTTGGGCCTGGTTAGCACTTGGATGGGAGAAATAATTCTGCTTTCCATACCCTATCATTATCCAATTTGAAACTGTTTGCATATTGGTAATATATAAAAAAGTGTGTGTAGCGTGCACAGAGGTGAAAATGGAAAGTGTCTACGGGAACTCTAAATTTATGTTATTTCATTGTATGATTATATATATAAATCTGCAGAATGGTGCATCAATTTTTTTTATGTCTTTAGACTCAAGATACTGTTTTGAAAGTTGCCCTTTTTTTCATCTTTACCTATTTTCTTTGAACCTTCTTTCATGTCCACAGATGTCCCCTCTCACCTCTTGTTTTCTCCCTATATAGAATACCCCAAGTTTGGGAGGGACACAGATTAAGAGGACAGGGGAAAAGTGAAGGCTGGTTTTGTTTGTTTTTTTCCCCCCACAATTCATAGCTCTTTTGTCAAAATGAGTTTACTGACCTGATATCATTTGACAAAAGCATGATGGATTTTTATCTTATTATTTCCTAAATCACCTAGGGTTGCCTGGACCTGATCAAAGACCCTGGGAAGATCTTGTAGCTTAGAAAAAGATGCTAACTGCATGCAATTAAACCTCTGAGGGCCGGACGCATTACCTCTAGCTAGCTTTTTAGGAACTGAGCTACTAGCTACTGCCTTTCACTTTGAAAACTGTTTTTAAGGCACTTTTGCACAAAGTTATCAAGTGGGAGTAGGGTTATTGATAAAGGCATTGGATTGAAGTAAGAGGAGCTAATGAATAGTCTCTGCATCTCTGCATCAAAATGTATGCATGTTAGAATTTTGAGTCAAGAGAATTGTAGCTCTGGCTGTACTTAGCTATTTCCTGCCTTTTTCCTTTTCTTCCTCTCTCTCCATCCTTTTCTTCCTTTTTTTAAATATAAAATTTATTGTCTCTGAGTTATTTGCCTCTTATCCAGTTTGTGGCTGAACTTTCTTTTTTTTCCTTCAAACTATAGGGGAAAGTTTAGTTAGAAAGTCACAGAGGTAGAAGAAGTGAGCCAAAGAAGAAATGGGCTCAGGAAACAAGTTACAGAGGCCAAAGAAGGGCTGGGCCCTTGGAGCTTAGGAGAAAGGGAGGGAAAAGAGGAGGGTGTACTTCATAGGGAGAGCCTCACTGGTCCTCTGTCTTCAGGGTATGTATCTGGAGGTCTCAGGGGAGGATCCCAATAAAATATACACATTGGCTTTCCAAGTATGTTCTGTTAGGGTCTTGGTCTCTACTGATTGGTCAGCCCCAGGGGAGGGTTATTAGTCATTGCATCTGGTCCTGAAGTCAGCCTTGGCCTCACTTGTCTGGTTTTGCTGCTTTTCTGGGCCTGGAGCTGAACACACATGAGGTCTAGATGTATTTGATGTGGGTCAGAACCTCATTGTCCTGGGGGCTTCCTGCTTAAGGGCTGTTCTCTGGTGCCTTTGTTTGCTCCCCCTCCAAGGGGGTCTAACCCTAATGATCAGCTTTGTGCTAGGGAAGGAGAGGTCACCCTGGTGTTGAGGTCCTTGTCTCCCCAGTTTTGCCGATCGCTAAGTACCTGGGGCTCTCTGCCCTGGTGACCTTGTGTACCTGGCCCCTCGTCCTTGCTCTGCTCATGTCTGTCTGTGTGGCTGAACTTTCTAAGTGATGGGGAGATGACAGTGGTTGAGACAATGACAGATCTACAGAGTGCCCCAGACCATCTCTACTTTTTAGAGGCAGTGTCTGCAAGATCAATCAGAAGGAACAACCTGGAATGTTTCTCAAATCCTAAACTAGAATATACTCGTGGCCACTGAGAATATGGAGAACTGAGACTGCCTCGAGAAATCTGGACCCTGTGGTGATTTCTCCTATTAAAAAGATCACCCCTGTGTCCAGCTCTGGGGATTCCTGCCGTGCACCCACCACCGAGGGCCACACGGTGCAGTCAGAGCCCACAGGCCAGACCAGCGGAGAGGTGTCAGAGAAGCTGACGGGCTTGAATTTCAGCAGCTAGTCATCCGATTTTCACAGTGACGTTCAGCCTTTCTTTAGTCTCCTACCAATTGTAAAGAGAAAAAAAAATATTTCACTATTTATCAGTGCTTACAAATATCCAATATCTCCTGAGACCTAGCTGTGTAGGGAGTAATTAAAATAAATCAGATAAACATAAGTATCTAGAAGCAGATACTGTGAGATTGTGTATGTTGTGGTTTTGAAATGAAGCTTCAGCCTTGACCGTCGCTAACCCTGTTAGTTTTGGTAAGCTCCTATAACAAAGCCACTTTGCGGGGCCCAATGGGTGGTGTTTTTCCTTGCCAGCATTGCCACACTAGGTCTCTTTTAAATAAAATGTTTGCTTACGGGGCTGTGTGGAGTACATACATTTTGTGACAGTCTGCCTGAGGCTCTTCAGGGGAAATATGAGGCAAACTGTCTTGTTTTCCCACCTCGCCTCCTCTTGGAACCAGCTGCAGATGTGAGTTTACATCCTAGGCATGACAGGACTAAAAGAAAGAGTGAACTTTGAGGAGGCAACAAAAACAAAGAAAACATCCTCCAAGAAACAAAAAAAAAACAGGCATCCTGAGTCCACCAGCTTTTTTTCTTCCTTTAAGACAAAGACCTCAAGGGGCTGCTCATCATTAAGGTCCCTTGGCAGGAATGACCTATTGTTCTAACAACTTCCATGGCAGCTAGCATGCCCATAGCTGGTGGGGCTCAGGGGCTTGCTGCGAATGGATGAAGGCAACTGTTTTGAAATGTCCTTGGCAGGTGTGCCTCAAGTTCCATATCTTCGATAGGAGCAGACCTTTTTACTTATTTGTTGGAGTTTCAAATCTAGTGAAGGCTTAATGGGGTGTCACATGTTTTCTGAAGATGGACACCCTGGAGGAAATCTTTAAGGTGGGGTGACAGCTATTTATCCTCAGCACCTGAGCATTCCACTTGACCAGTCTACTTCATCTCTAGGAGTTATTATGAAGAATGAATTAAAAAATTGTAAAAAACAGTGAACTTCATTCACATTCAAACCCCATCATTCAAATGCGAGGCGGTACTGTTTTTAAATGAATTTTTTAAAAACATGGTATTTGTCACATCTCAACTCTGATGATGATATGTGGTGTCTGCAACTTCTTTAAAGGTTTTAACATTCATAGAAAAAATTAAGCAAATCATCCCTATTGAATTTCCAGAAGCCCATCGACACTGATCTCTCATTGGCCAGTTTAGTGTTTTCTGCAGCTTAGTGTGGCAAGAAAGAGCTGAATATGGATTTGGAGCCACGCCTGGATTTCGGTGGTTATGTTGTCATGTCCTCAGTCCGCCTCGTTCCCCGTGCAGTCTTGGCTCCGTTAGCCAGCAGGCTGGGGATCAGTTATGGTGGAAAAAGTATATTAAGCAAGTTCCTTTTTTTAGAGAGTTTCTTATGGATTCTCTTAAGCCTCTTAAGCAGTAAAATACAAAGAAGACACACATACACCTTTTGCCCCCTGTTCTTGTACATTGAAATGTTGTGGTTTTCTTTGTTGCCATATCTGAAAGCCCCTGCCTCATGTGATTGAGTCTAGGCATCCTTGCACCATATTTTCTTTCAGGCAATGAATGTTTGTGGTGGAAAAACAAAAGTTTTCACTGTGGTCTTTCATGACTGAGCACGTGATGAATGTGTCCAATAGATTTTTTTTTTTTTAACAGATGGGTCAGAGAGTTTTTGAATGAAGAAAACAAAGGCCTTGATGTTCTAGTGGAGTATCTGTCATTTGCACAGTACGCGGTAACGTAAGTAGAACTTGGCTTGTTTCTTTTGAATTTTATGTGGTCCTAGAAGATGCAGCTCAGTGGTACAGTCATACACTGCACTGACAGCAGAAAACAGAAACAGATGTAGTGTGGCTTAAGGAGGTTCGTTTCTATTCAGATGACTAAAAGCAAATCACGTAATTGTTATTAGAAATGCTTTTAAGGCAGAAATAAAACAGTGGAGTAAAAATTACCCTTAAAGGAGTCCTTATTTTAAAAAGAACTACTTTCTTCAGTGCTCAAGTTACAGACATCCATATGGTAGGATACTCTAGTACGTATTGAAAGAGGTAGATGATACATTGTTGAGTAAATAAAGCAGGATACAGACCAGTGACTCCTTTTTCATTTTTTAAAAAAATTACATATGTATGTATATTTTATATGCTAGTAAATACAGAAATAGATACCAAACTGGAAGAAGGGTAAAACAAGAGGCTTTTTCTTTTTACTTTACATGTATTTGTAGTGTTTTGATTTACTTGTAATAAAGGTGAAAAAAACTGGAGCAAACCAATAAAAATTAACTTATTTAACCTAGTTTTTGTTAATTCATAAAATTTTCCCATTTGCTTTACTTCTGCAAAGATTTACAACAGAAATGAGAAGTGTACATTTGAATGAGGTCGTCTCTTCTCCACATTTCCTCCTTTAATCAGAAAATATTTCTCTATCCACAGATATACTCTCACACAGATGGAGGAAATAATATTGTATTTTTAATTTGATTGGAAGCCATTTTGGCTCAGCTGGTGTTTTTTTCCCCCCCTCAACTCTTCTTTTAAAAGCAGTGACTTATTTTTTATATTGCCTCACTCCAGTAAAGTCCTAAGACCTAACCAGATGCTGTTTTATTATCCTTATCACTTCCTTGAGAATTTGTGAGGAGAAAGCTGTAATCATACCTACCTTGTGGATGCAGAAACTAAAGAATTAACTGAAATGGACTCGATGAGTTTCAGTTTCGATAACTCTTGGATATTATATGGAATAGATTAAGAAAAACCAAAAGGCAAATTCTTATCTTCCTGAGAAATTGTCCTCTGAAATATAATCCTAGTTTTTATAGCATACTCTTCCAAAGGTTGTTTCTTATCTCCATTATGTCAAAACTGTTAATATCTCTTTACACTTTATAGAATATCACAAACTGACAATATTACCCTGTTGCATATTTTAAAATCTGGAGGGATATTCATGGAATTAAGGAAGGGCTAAGAAACTTCAGGAATAATGAAAAAGAATGGCATGCTATGTGTTATATATGTTTGCTGTAATCAGCCCTTTCCCTATATCGCATAAAACCAATGGGAAATGGTTCTACCACCGTGAGGGTATTCTCCTCGTCTGTGGCAAAAGATCAAACCCAACGAAACAGCAGAGCTCAGAGCTTTTGCTTTCCAGTCTTCTACTTTTTTTGCATTAGCTTTACATTTTTTCCTGATTAGTTTGTTTGTTTTTTTTTTTTTGCATAACTTAGATGAAAAGTTATATGTAAATACAATTTATGTTCTTTCTTTAAACTAATGGGCTGAAAAATTTCTTGTCATCCCTTGGCATGTGACAGTTTCCCTAGCCCGTGTAGTACGAAACAACAGGCCTATGCTCCATCCCTGAGGCAGAAGCTTTCACTAAGGTGTTCCTTTCCCTGCTGTGTGGAGCTGGGGACCAGCTGGGGGAACAGGACAGTGCTGAACAGCTGAATGACATCGGGGCCGCAGAGTGGCTTGTCAAGAGTATTAAAGACCTGAGTGACTTTGGAATGTCCCCTCGGCTTACCTTCTCCAATGTCAGTCATAGGATCTATCGATTACTCAGTTCTACCTCTCTTCTGTTCAGCCCGGTTTCCTGAATCCTAAAGCATGACAAAATTGTCAGACTGATTCAATGACTTCAGTAGACCAGTGTGTGACATCTGGATTAGTATTATTTAATAGATGGAGAGCATCACCTAGTTTATAGATGATTGCTCTAACCAAATATTTTATTTTGGCAACCATACGGCTTATAAAAGTCATACTTTTTCATAAAAGTATTGCTGTTTCTTCTGTGATAGCTTCCAAGATCTTCCACATGATATTAATTATAGCTGCCTTCTATTTATTCTCTATCTGACCAGGTGTTGCTTGGTGGAACTATGGGTAGAAGCAATTAATAAAATATTTTTTCGGGGAAAGCAGAGCTACTAACTTTGGGAGAGGAAAATGCATAGAACACGAAGCCTGTCTAAAAACACTGTTCCTAAAATTATACAGGAATGAGCGACTTAACTTGCCATTTATTCTAACATGGTTAACATGAGTAATAACCTCAGAAAATGTCAGAGAAACAACAGTCCTACTTTAAAGAGCACCACATTGGGAAGAGATTCCAAAATCAAAGCAAATTCATAGGTTTGTGAGTAATGTATCACATATGGTTGGAAAAGCACACTTGCCAACACGCTAGGAGAAAATGCTCAGTGAAAATTGATGGGTAGGAATAAATTAGTATAAGCCTAACATATTGACTTGTTAAAGCAAAATGAAGACATCTGTGAGGTTCTACCCCCCCCCCCCCCCTTCACCTTCCATCTTAGCAATGTTAGCATTTGGCAAGTTGGCGAGTTTTATAGTAAAATACAAATAATACATCACTATTTAATTTTTACTATTGTTTAACTATTTGCCTGACCCAGTATTTGTCTTTCTGTATTTTCTAAGTTACCACAGAATCCATAGACATTCTTTTGTATTTCCCTTTTAGTTTACTTTGCTTGCAAAGCCTACCCAAATTAAGGTGCAGATGTATAAAAGGAAGGAGCAAGGTATGCACATCCGTGTGTTTGTGTCAATATGAATCTTTAAGTCTTCTGTGGCATTTCTCTTTTGTTTTAGTTTTGACTTTGAAAGCGTGGAAAGCACTGTGGAGAGCTCGGTGGACAAATCAAAGCCCTGGAGCAGGTCCATCGAGGACCTGCACAGAGGGAGCAACCTGCCCTCCCCCGTGGGCAACAGTGTGTCCCGCTCGGGAAGGCACTCTGCACTGCGGTGAGTTCCTTTCATTGGGAGCGAGGCAGATTTGGTAGGGTGCACAGGGAAAGCAGGGTGCCTCGCTTCTGTGATCATCAGCTGTTGTATTGCTCTATCTTGCCACATAGTTTGCATTCGCAGTGATTTCACATGCAGGTTTCTTCAGGAGCTCATGGGGTCATCACACGGCCCATACTCTGGAGCGTTAAATAGCTGAATGAAAGAAAGGCCATTCCTTCATTCAGCACAAAGAGAAAATGTTGCTGCCAAATGATGCGACAACAGAGTAGTCTCCACAGGCAATTAAGTTTCTGAACCAGGGAGATGCTGACATCATGGCTTAGGCTCTGTTTTCTGGGTAGAGGCAGCACATCGAGATTTGAGCATCTCAAGAACACCTTGTTGCTGTTTGTACCCTGCTCCTCCCCTTCTTTCCTCCAGTGGTAGCTCAGGTGTGTGTTCTGTGGGGTATGTTCTTCATCATAGGTGTGGAATACTATAGTGATTTTTATTAATTTTTAGTAGTGAGATGCCTTTAAGCATGTTTCTTTGGTTAAGTGTGCTCAATTGTCAACGTTCTAATTCCTTCTTAGGATTCCATCTCTAGTTTCTCCTGGCGGAAATACCACCATGTTAAGGGAGGATGGGTGCTGACCACCTGTACCCGTAATGGCTGTAACATCACTGAATTGTTTATTTACTCACACCTACAATTGGTCATTTGCTGAAAAATATTTTGAGCTTCTATAACTTGCCAGGCACTGTACATGGGTGTGTAAATCCAAACTACCTGCCAAGATAGAGCTATCATCAAGAGCCAGTTCATAAAGGTTTCTATATTCCAGGACTTTAATAAAATTGCTCACGTATTTTGGGCTTGATCTGGCAAGTGGACTTTGTTTTTGTCAGTGTTAAGGTCACCATGGGTGCTGGGGCGTTGTAGTAGAACCCATGTGTCGGGTTCTCGCCAGTGCATGTGTGGCTCTCGGGCTTTACATATTTGGTAGCCTTTTAATCACCCCTTTTCCCTTTGACTGGGGTTTTGGTCCTGGAAAGTTAAAGTGTCTGTAATGAAATTCAGTCCTGCTGAAGGATTTGACGTTTGAATATGATGCTTCCAGTCAACCTTACAGAAATTTTTCCTTTGGGAATGCGAAAAATATCAATGGGTTTAGAATGATGAAACAATAATGAGGAATAGTGTTTCAATTTCTCATGGTATTGCAATAGGCCAAGGGCTATATAACCTGCAAGTCTGCATCAACTTTACATGTGAACAGGGACATATGTGGGCCAATTTGGAAGTTGAAGAAAAAGGTTGGCTGTGCCTGAAGAATTCCTTGATCACCTTGGCATCTGAGTGGAATTCTTATCATTAATATAGCTGTAATTATAGGTAAGGGATCTAATTGACAAAGTGGGTTTTAATTTGCTGTTCCATCATTTCTTACCTAGAAAGTATCATTTATGAGCTACCACCTTAACAAGGATTCACTTTTCTGATTAATAATTCATTATGCCCATTTTTGAATTATTAAGACTTTTCATTGAGAGCACACTGTTTCTGGTAGAGTGGGAGAGTCAGGAGAATGTAGGAAACATTCCCGGTCCAAGGAGAGTTGTAAACCTAGTCCCGGGAAGGCATAGTACAGGGACATCAATTTCTGACTTACTTCATGGTTAGCTCCAGCTAGATTCTGCTAGAATTCATTTTAAACTGGAAAAATAGACCTAAAGTATAAAGAGATGGACATGATGGAAATGCTTTTCTGAGAAACTCAGGGACTGTATGGCATTTCCGGTGGGCAGGTGTGCTTAAAGCTGACCAACTAAGAAACCAGTATCACATTCTTCTGTTTCGTGTTTGAACAGTTTCAAGCTCAGGAACAGAACATTGGAATTTCCTTCATAGGTTCTAGTCACTCAAGAATATCAGTATGGCAGTAACTTTCATACTGCTTTTTGACCTAAAGCTTAGATTTTTGTTTTTAAACAATATGTATCAGTGATATTCCAGTCCATGTGGTTCATGGATTTGTGCCTGGCTTCTAATTACTTTGTCATTTGATAGCATCTGTAACTTATAGAATCAGCAATCAGAAGTACACACATATGGTACATGTTGCTTTTCATATACCCAAAGATTGTTTACATTTTTTCTCTTCCTCCTTCTTCCTCTTTCCCCTTTCTTTTTCTGCTCCCCACACTTGCTTCACTTTTTTGGCTTTCTTTTATTGCTCTTCTTTTTCATTCTGCCATCTCATTTCTGATTGTCTTCTCTTCTACTTTGTCCTTTCTGTCCCTACTGTCTCCTTTTCTTCTGGTTCCTTTCATCTCTTACACCACCACCAGATTGGTTTGTCTGCCTGAGTATCTTCAGTTCAAATGCCACCAGAGCTGCTTCTCTTCCCTGTTGCCTCTGGAGCAGCTTCAGTTTACACACTGACGATGAGGCTTCAAACCGGACAGATCTCGTAAGTCACGGGTGAAAATGACACCCACGAGAGCTGGCAGTGCGTGGTGGCAGGGTATTGCAGCTGCTCTCCATGTTATAACATGATAACCTCATGGCTTAGAGCCCTCACCCTGTACTGGATGTGCCCACTACCTTTTGAAGTTTGATACACTCTGTTATTATAATTTCTCATTAAGAATTCAAACCTTTACAGTATATCATACATTTTTTTTACTATTGCAAGTTTTTTTTTAAGAAAAAGAGGATATTAATTTATGTTCTATAGAGATGGTTTATTCTGGTAGCTTTGTTTGATTAGAATATGTCTTCTGTATCCAAAACAGATTTTAGTTCCCTTATCCCAATATCCAGATAATAATGTAGATTGAATAATCTTGTCCTAGATATCACTTGGTAAAAAGGGTTAGTTAAACTTAGAAGAAGAAATGAGACTTTAAGAAATTTAAAACATCTTACAAATGGGGCTTGATTAAAGAAAAAAGGAAACAACACTCTGTTTTAAAATATTATTCTAATGCTAATGCGCACTCTCCTCTTTGTATTCAGGCTTTATTTTTTAACTATTTAAAAAGGATTATTAAGCATTTTATGACATGACATTCACCCTGAGTTATATCATCTGTTAGATTCTATATTATCATAAACTTGTCAGCTTGGCCGGTGGTAAAAACGTTGATACTGATGCAATGGAAACGTGGATTGTGTTGTTTTATAAACCTAGAGCCTGGTGCACCTTTCAGTCAGGATAGGTTTCTGTGAATCTGACTACAGGTCTAGCTAAATTAAATGGTGCTATATATGCACATATGTGCACGCTAGATTTTTGAAGACAAAGATTACATTACTTCCGATACAAGAGAAAGTGATTTCTAATATTAAAGAATGTCATGGTTAATGCCATTGGACTTAAATAAGCAGTGACACAGGCAATAAATAAATGTTCTGAAGTTTCAAAGAAAGAGGTGGAACACTGAGAGCCTGGAGGAAGGGGTCAGGTATAATCTGGGACTTTGGGTGGTGGCCAGAGTTGGTTCTCAGGGTGAGGAGAGGCTGTTCCAGGTGGAGGCAAAGCGAAAGAGGATGAGATGACCAAAACCTTCGCTCAAAGACCAGTATGTTTGGGAAAGAGGGAAGAACCTGCCCTTTGAGGGACAGAGGCTTTGCGATGCGGCAGAGGGCTGTCTGATGGAGAGCTGGGGTCACAGACACATAAAGCTTGTAGGCCACCCAACCGACCTTTCCCACTCTGCTGAGGAGACCAAGATCCGCATTTCCTTTAAGGTATTAACTCCTCTTAATACTTCTTCCTAAGACGCCTCAGAACAAATTTCACTGTTTTTCCTGAGATGATTAACTTCATGGATTGGCATTTCATGAATAGTCACCATCTGACTCTTTACCACCTGTCCTCCTAGTGGATTTATATGAAGAGATGAAGAGTTGAAATTTGGATCCTTATTTATACATTTTTGTACAGTAATCTCATCCCTGGCAATGTTTTTTAGGGGAGTAATTTTTAAAAATATTTTTAAATGGGCATGAAGATATAGATAGCGTTGTTACAGTTTTTATTGGTGGTGGCGGGGTAGCTTTTATGAGTGTCCACTGTGTGCCGGGCACTGTTCAGAGAGCCTTCTGTGGGATAGCTACTCTCACTGTCCTTATGGGGAAACCGAGTCCTTTAGTAGTAGTTAAGCAGCTTGCATGGGATCAAACAGTAAATAAAGGAAGGGGCACTTGAAGTAAGGTGGCCAGACCACAACCCCCATACTGCATTATCCTGCCTGGCTATTTATAGGATGATCCCCCCCCCCCAGTAAATACAGTGTTTTCATATCAAGTTGTCTGCTTGTCCTTAGTTAAGTTGTTCCCTGCAGGATGGGCTTTTGCTCCTTCCAAGAAAATGGGACTTTTCTACTTCACACACAGATGTCAGCAGAGCTAGTGGAGACCCTGATCAATATGCTGTAATATTTTATAGCTATTAGAAAATAAGTTCATATAGGAATGTATTTTCTAAACAAATGACAAGGCCAAAAATTCTATATTTATACAATTTTATTTTCACTTATTTGCAAATGGGAAGACATTAAAAGGAAAGTTCATTACATGAAAGCTACTATTTTTAATCAATGGGGAGAATATGAGTGAACTTTTTTCTTTTCAAATTTTTGTTTTTATCATGTTTTAGAACTGATGTTAAAGTACATATACTGCATACCCATGAATCAAGTAGGGAGAGACCACATAACAAAGCACCACAAATGGTGGAGTTTGGCTTTCACGTGGGCGGCAGTGGAATGGGAAATCCCATGAGGTGGATGGTCTTTGCAGGCGTGTAGGGTCTGGGGAACGCACGGGAAGCTGACTGGAGGAAGCGCTTGCTGAGGCAGCTGGCACTCAGACCTACGCACAAAGTATCTGAAACTTAGAATGTAGAGCAAACATAAGAACATTTGAAAGCTGACTTGGCGTTCAAAGAGGTACAAAGAAAATAAAGAGAAGAAAAAGTTTTGTGTATGATTGATTAGAAGAGAAATAG